AATTTGGCAATAAACTATGTGAGAAGCAGTATTTACAGGAGGAAAGGCACTGGGTTTTTTGTTGTGTTTGTTAATCCTAACCTGAGGATATTTTCTTTCATTGTTTTTTTAAGAGAAAGCAGAAGGGAGGGGAGGTAAAGACAGAGAGAAACATTGATGTGAGACAAACATATTGATTGGTTGCTTCCTGCACATGCCTGACCAGGACCAGGGATTGACACGTGCCCTTGACCAGAATGGAATCTGGCACCCTTCAGTCTGCGGGCTGATACTCCCACCACTGAGAAAAACTGGCTAGGGCCAAGGCACTGGGTTTTAATAGAAGAGTCTAGTTCCAGTTATGCCTTGGTTAACTAGTATTCTTTTTATTTGATAATATAGTGCTGGGCCAGTCATTGCTTTGAAGATACATAGGTTCTCAGTTCAAGGACTTACAGAGCAATTTACGATAAAGTAAGATTAAACAAAGGAGGGTCACTTAAGCTTTTGAGAGTCAGGGTGAAACTCCCAGAGTGTACTCTGGCTATGCTGAATCTTTAAGGGCACTTGGGAATTAACCAAGGGATTCAGAAAGGGCCAAACCTGCTATCATCTTAATATTAACAGTTTAAAAGAATTTATTATCTACTTTTTCAAGATTCAGTAATATGCTGATTCCCTCATACTGTGTGAATAATTCTTTGAATATAATAAAGTTACTGTATTTTTTATTGCCTAATTACAAATACCTTGTCCTTTACCATATATATATTTTTATTTTATTTTTTTTAATATATTTTATTGATTTTTTACAGAGAGAAAGGGAGAGAGATAGAGAGTCAGAAACATGGATGAGAGAGAAACATCGATCAGCTGCCTCCTGCACATCTCCCACTGGGGATGTGCCCGCAACCCAGGTACATGCCCTTGACCGGAATCGAACCTGGGACCTTTCAGTCCGCAGGCCGACGCTCTATCCACTGAGCCAAACCGGTTTCGGCCTTTACCATATATTTTAATAATTAGTTGCCCATATGCTTGTTCCACCCCACCCCCCATCCTTCATGTTACTTTTGGGTGAATATGGAAATTATTTTATGTATGAACTTAACAAGATTTAACTTTATTTTTTAAACATGTTTTATTGATTTTTAACAGAGAGGAAGGGAGAGGGATGGAGAGTTAGAAACATCGATGAGAGAGACATCGATCAGCTGCCTCCTGCACACCCCCCACTGGGGATGTGCCCGCAACCAAGGTACATGTCCTTGACCAGAATCGAACCCGGGGGGACCCTTTAGACTGCAGGCCGACGCTCTGTCCACTGAGCCAAACCGGGCAGGGCAGATTTAACTTTTTATATATGAATTGTTACCTCTGATATTTTTATGAAATATGCATATTTGTTGTATAACTTTATAATTCTAGCACTTATATTTTAAAATATTATAACATGTCTATTCACATACAAAAGTAACTATGATATTTTTGATAAACATTTAAATCAACATGTGATTCTCTCTGCTAAGAAAAAAGTAGAAGTATATATGAAAAAATATTAAAAGTTACAGCTTGCCCCACCGGTGTGACTCAGTAGTTGACTGTTGAATGATGAACCAGAAGGTCACGGTTTGATTCCCAGTCAGGGCACATGCCTGGGTTGTGGGCTCGATCCTCAATGTGGGGCATGCAGGAAGCAGTTGATCGATGATTCTCTCTCATCATTGATGTTTCTATCTCTCCTTCTTCCTCTCTGAAATCAATAAACATACATGTATAAAAAGTAAATAAAAATAAAGATGAAATTATAAAAAATAAAAGTTACAGCTAAGAGCCAGGATTTTATGCAGTTTTTGTGTGATTTTTTTTTGTAAGCTTATTAACTTCATTATCTTATTTTAAATTATTTTTATTATGAATAAAGTAGATGAAATTAAATATCAAATTCAAATTTCTGAAGTGCTGGGGCAGGTGAGGTGAGTGCATGAGGTCAAGTACATAATAAATGGTAACAGCTAATAGGCAACAGTGGAAACTAGGTCTAACTGAAACATATACCTCACTAATGGGAGAGACTTATGATTGCTATACAGGAATGAGGCTAGATATGATTATTTGTTTTATATCGATTTTATAGAAATAGCTGTAACTCATTTAGATTAAACAAATTTGCAGCAAACAGAACATCTGTAGACTGCTACACTAAAAGATTTCATTATTTACCATTCTTAGGAAATTCATCTATTTTACTGAAAATTGCATAGGCTTGATTTTTCCCTAAATTATTTTCTCTCTACTTTTTCTTGAAAAAAAAAGGAAAAATTGACCAGATGTTTGTCTTGTGTTTGAGTTTGGATATTATTTGAGTAATATCAGGAGTTCATAGAGAAAATACTGTCCTATTTCTGATTAGATAAAATCTGGTTTGAATAATGTTAGAGACATAGTGTTGAACCATCTATTGTGTCATCTATTTTTCTTCATTAGCTTTTAATATTAGACCATTTATGTTCTCGAGATTTGTGTAGTGCTTTTAATGATAATTTGCTATCTTGCGTCTTTTTTTTAAAAAATATATTTTATTGATTTTTTACAGAGAGGAAGGGAGAGAGATAGAGAGTTAGAAACATCGATGAGAGAGAAACATCGATCAGCTGCCTCCTGCACATCTCCTGCTGGGGATGTGCCCGCAACCCAGGTACATGCCCTTGACCGGAATCAAACCTGGGACCTTTCAGTCCGCAAGCCGACGCTCTATCCACTGAGCCAAACCGGTTTCGGCCTTTCGTCTTTCTTGAATTAAGGCATATTTATTATTATTATTATTTTTTTAAATATATTTTATTGATTTTTTACAGAGAGGAAGGGATAGAGATAGGGAGTTAGAAACGTCGATGAGAGAGAAACATCGATCAGCTGCCTCCCGCACATCTCCCACTGGGGATGTGCCCGCAACCCAGGTACATGCCCTTGACCGGAATCGAACCTGGGACCCTTCAGTCCACAGACCGACGCTCTATCCACTGAGCCAAACCGGTTTCGGCTATTATTTTTTAATCTGTACCTATGAAAAGTATCCTTATGTGGCATAACCTAAATATAATAGCCCTCCCAGATGTGTGCATTCTATATAGTCTTCGGAGATTATATATACATTTTCTTTTTTATTATTAACTTGTTCTTTATAATAGCAATTGTGTTTATTAAAAGTAGAAAAGAAGTATAGTGAGACAGAAACTGTCTCCAGTCTTACAGTCAAACAAGCGATTTTTAATTTTTTTCATCCTGTGGCACACATAAACTAATTACTAAAATTCTTTGGCACAACAAACATGTTTTTTGCCTATCTGACCAAAAAAATTGTTATAATTTTGATTTACTCACACTAGACGGCTATTGTGATATTGGCTGTTGTCATTTTTTTATTTGACAATCCAATGGAAAAGGAGGTCAGTTCCTGTGTCTACTAGTAAATAGTCAGGTCTTGCATGTTTTAAACATTACTTGCAGTATACAATGTGCCTCTTGTTGCACACTAGTTGGAAATTGCTGAAACACAGTAATGATTATTTCCTTTCAATCATTTTTTTCTTTTTCTTTTTTTTTTTTTAAATATAGTTTATTGATTTTTTACAGAGAGGAAGGGAGAGAGATAGAGAGTTAGAAACATCGATGAGAGAGAAACATCGATCAGCTGCCTCCTGCACATCTCCCACTGGGGATATGCCCGCAACCCAGGTACATGCCCTTGACCGGAATCGAACCTGGGACCCTTCAGTCCGCAGGCCGACGCTCTATCCACTGAGCCAAACCGGTTTCGGCTATTTTTTTTTTTTCTTTTTGTAAGTCTTTGACTTGGTGGGATAGGAGTAGTGTATGTGATTATAATTATATTACATTTACTGTTATATGTTGATTATTTTTAACAAATTATGAGCATTTCCCAAATTATTTATTTTATTTAACTAGGAACTGTAATTTAACCAATTTTCATAAAATTGAATAGGTTGCTTCTGATTATATGTTATTAAAATGAGCACTAAGATGGCCAACTTTATATACATGAAGGCTTTCTAAATTTAGGGTAGTCCCATACAGTAGATTCTTAGTAGTTGAATTTTACTGGTTTATGGTATAAACCAGTTTAAAGCATGAAACCTTAAGAGTTTTGCATTTTGTTTCCAGAGGAGTAGATACTGTATTGGGAATTATTCTTTTAAAAGATCTCTGCAATCACCAGGCCATTGTGAGTCAGGGTTGAGTGTCAACCCATGTACCAGGAGGTCACTGTTTGGTTCCCTGTCAGTTCTCAATCCTTGTGTGGGGCATGCCAATCAATAATTCTCTCATTTTTTTTTTCTTTTCTGAAAACAAGTTTTATTTAAATAAGGGTTTATATACATAACATAACATAACATTAAAACTGAAGGAGGGGAAAAAGAACACCCCAAAAATCATTTTTGTTTTTTTACTTCACATGGCATTGGGCAGCTGTTGCTAGGAAGTTGCAAGCTCTATAGCTAGCTAACATGACTGACACTTCAGTTTGAAATTTGTTCCCTTGTCAAAAGTTTAACTCTGATAAGAAGGTTGGCCTCAAATTATGGTGTTTGGACAACAATTAGCTAGGATCTGTCTGGTCAAAAAGACCTTGGTGGCAAGCCACAAGTCCTTACACCTCACTGGAGGGAAGGTGGCAGGCTGCTTGCTCGAAGCTCCATCACCTGGTCAGGTGTAGATCTGTGGTTGCGGAAGGCTCCCTCTAGTGGTGCACATGCCGCTGGTGCCTTACCCCTCTCCTCTCAGCTTCACTGAAGGCCGCTCAGGCGGTGGTGACATTCTCTGAGGGCAGGGAACTCTGGTGAGGCGCTTTGGCCAGACGTGGGCTTGGCTGAAACATCACGGTATTGCTCCGTTTCAGGCTGGACACTGCCAGGCGCCTACTGCTTGACCTCTGTTTAAACGAGGAACTTCAAGACTAGACAGCATGGCTCTTTTCAGTTTATTGCATGAAGGAGTTACACCAGTCTAAGTTAAAAGCAGACCCCAAACGGTTACATTATACAAGCTGTGAGGTTTTTAAACTTGTGACAAGGGACAGGAGGGAAATTCTACTCATTGCAAAGAAATCCTCACTTAAGCTTCTGTGAGCCAAAAGCACTTAAAACCCATGAACCTTCAGCTGGTCGTCCTTAGCCAGTCCAATCTCGACAAGGAACTGGCATATGTTCTTGCGCTGGTCACCCTGCAGCTGAATTACTTCTCCATATTCTGGATGCTCAATTACAGTACCATTGCAGGCAAATTTCTTAAAGGCCTTCACTAGTTTCTTTTTATCGTAATCATCGGCGATCCCTTGGGCAGTAGTAAGGGTCTTCCTGCCGTTTCTCTGTTGAATTCTTATATGGATATAATCCTCAGTGCCAGCGGGAAGCAGGTCATCACCCTTACTTGCATCAGCAAAGGGGTCGAAAGAGTGAAGGTTCTGGATAGCCGACATACGATACGATTCCTTTTCCTCGGTGGAAACGGCCTGCGGAAGGCTGCGGCGGGAGAAGGCGGGCAGGGGGGACGGAGCGTCGGGAAGCAAGGGGGGCTCAAGGGGGAGGTTGCTTGAGTCCTCGGCGGCGGCTCAGTCACTGGGAATTCTCTCATTATTGATGTTTCTGATTTTTTGTGTCTACACTAGCCTATCAATGCTATTGCTGTTGATCAGAACATATCCTCATACAGGGCACTGTATGGCTTAATGTGCTTTTATTCAAAATATAAATCAATCATATATTACTGTTGTTAAATTATCCCCCTTTCTTCCTTGATGATTTATGTTTGTTTTGCTGTGTTTTTTAGAGATTTGCATGTTTTCTTTCTAAAACCACCATTTTAATCAAAACTCTCTTTTTGTTTTACAGGGCTGAAAGGATTGGATGATTTTGTCCTTGATTTTTCTCTATTTAAGGTAATTTGCCTGTTGAGTTAACTAGTCATACAGACTTAATACAATTTTCTGTTTGGGGTGGCAATCTATATTTGGTTGTTAAAATAGAAATTACATATATATTGCAAAATGTCCCCTCGGTAGTTCAACCGGGAAGACGGCAGTTTGATTGCTCGCTATGACATGCGCTGACCACCAAGGTGCAGTGCGGAACATGGCGGGCAACCAGCAGCAGCAGCGGGGAGCTGAGGGAGCAAGGGAAGGAGGAGGCAGGGAGGCTGGGGGAACCTCATGGTGGTGGCAGCGTGAGGTGGTGAGGGAAGGAGGAGGTGGGGAGGCAGGGAACCTGATCGGCCCTGATTATGGGCCAGGCCTAGGGGCCCTACCTGTGCACGAATTTCTTGCACCAGGCCTTTAGTATTATATAATGGTTAAGCCTTTTCTTTCCTTTTCTTTTTTTATGTTCCTAATGAGAGAGAGAGAGAGAGAGAGAGAGAGAGAAACATAGAGAGAGAGAAACATCAATTGGTTGCCTCCTGTATGCACCCTGACGGGGAATCCAACCCGAGACTCTTCTATGCACGGGAGAACTTTCCAACTGAACCACATTGTCCAGACCTAAGCCTTTTTTTCCCTGTCTTTTTTGTGTGCCTCATAAAATGCAATCTAATCTCTAAAAGAAAACAATCTATATATTTTATGCCATGGAAGTAAATATCAAAATAAATTTCAAACTACATTTCTAGTTTATGCTCCACAGAATATTTTTTACAGAGATTTATGAAAAAATCTTTGTCTGAAAATTGTATTTTACTCATAGACTGAAATATTGGAGCCATGGGAATAAAGGTTCAACGTCCTCGATGTTTTTTTGACATCGCCATTAATAATCAACCGGGTAAGAAGATTAATGTTCTTATTTAACATTTGTAAATGAGTATTTAGTATTTTAAATTCGTAAGGAAGTTTTAACCAACTACTTATTTTCTTTTTTTTTTAAGCTGGAAGAGTTGTCTTTGAATTATTTTCTGATGTGTGTCCCAAAACATGCGAGAACTTCCGTTGTCTTTGTACAGGTTTGTGGCTATTTTCAATTTCCCTAACAGTAGTCCCATTTTTATTTAAACAAATTTTAGATTTCTTTATGCATATTACTCTTTACTCTTAACATGCAAATTATGCAGCATTATGTTAAATTAATTCTTAGACATATTAGTTGTAATGGATTTTATTTGATATTGATTTCTACATTTCAGCACTCTTCAGGATTTTTTAAATGAATTTTAAAAAAAATTCCTGAGCGAGTGAAAATTCAGTAGTTTAAAAAAAATCTATATTGTTTGTTTCACAGGTGAAAGCTTTCATCATTAATTATGCTTTAATACTACTTCCTTGATTTTCTTTCTACTAAATGGCCTACTAATTTTTCTTTTTTATAGGTGAAAAGGGAACAGGGAAATCAACTCAGAAGCCATTGCATTATAAGAGTTGTCTCTTTCACAGAGTTGTCAAAGATTTTATGGTTCAGGGTGGTGACTTCAGTGAAGGTAAGACTTTGATTCCCACAAAAAAATATATATTCCTTGCTAAATATCATAGATCTCAAATCTTCAGTTTTATTTTTTTGCCCTGTGAATTAGAAGTACTCATAGAAATAAGTTAAAAGAAGGAAGCACAGGAAATAATTTTACCTTTGATGCTTGAATTACTTTCAGAAATTTGCTTCTTTTTTTTTTTTTTTTTTTTTAAATATATTTTATTGATTTTTTACAGAGAGGAAGGGAGAGAGATAGAGAGTTAGAAACATCGATGAGAGAGAAACATCGATCAGCTGCCTCCTGCACATCCCCCGCTGGGGATATGCCCGCAACCCAGGTACATGCCCTTGACCGGAATCGAACGTGGGACCTTTCAGTCCGCAGGCCGACGCTCTATCCACTGAGCCAAACCGGTTTTGGCCAGAAATTTGCTTCTTGATAAAAAAAAAACAAAACACTGTATTCCTCCGTTAGTAACCTATCAGTGTATGTGTTTGGTTTCGTCACAGCTAGTAATCCTTACCCACCATATAGTTTTTACCTTTACTTTTTTATTATAAAAACATCAAAATTCTATTTTAAAGACACTTTCAAAAAGGTCAGTAATTTCTGTTGAAAAACCTATATAATCATCATTAGAATTGACCATTGTGTGTGTCCCTTATCTTAATAGACTTTGTCATATTCTTACTATTGTATCATAAGGGAAAGAAAGTAATTTGGGATCTTGTCAGTATGGACTTTACGATTTGCTATGAACCTATGAGTATTATTGAAAGTCATTCAAGCACTAACTTTCTAAGCATTTTGGTTAGGTAGCACCTTCTAAGAGATTACTGTCTTGAGAGTTCTAAGAATCCATGTTTTTCATCCCTAGGAAATGGACGAGGAGGGGAATCTATTTATGGAGGATTTTTTGAAGGTAAAAATGTTTACTTTTAAATTGTGTTTTTAATGGTTTCTGTTTTATGCACTTGATTTTCTCTATTAAATCAATAAGATTACTTATTAAACAGTGTATACTGTACTAATATCCATCTACCTTCAATTACTCTGGAGGTAATTTTTGTTGTTGTTAGGTAAATTTTCGTGTGAAAAATTTTATAATATATGCCTTGGCCAGTGTGGCTTAGTTGTTTGGGCATTGTACCATGCACCAAAAGGTTGCTAGTTCAATTCCTAATCAGGGCACAAGCCCAGGTTGCAGGTTCTATCCCCAGTAGGTAGTGTGCAGGAGGCAGCCAACTAATGTTCTGCTCTCACATTGATGTTTCTCTTTCTCCCTCTTCCTTTACTTCCTTGGCAGCTCAGAAGTAAAGTAAATAGTATGGCTTTGGCAGCACAGATACTCTCTAAAAATCAATAAATATGTATTTTTAAAATTATAGACTTTTTATAGAGATAGAATTTTTGGTTTTGGTCTAGGACATTTATATATCATATTATCTAAAGGATTTCAATGATCTATAATAAAAAAGAGTAATACGCTAATTAGACCGGACAGCCAAACGACCTTCCGGACGTCATTCCAGATATCCTTCCGGACAAAGCTGCAGTGGCTGGGGCCAATGCAGAGGAGGTTAGGGGCATTGAGGCAGGCAGGCGAGCAGGGGCTGTTAGGGGCGATGAGGCAGGCAGGCAGAGTGGTTAGGGGTGGTCAGGCAGGCTGGCAGAGTGGTTAGGGGCGATCAGGTAGACAGGCAGGCGAGAGGTTAGGAGCCAGTGGTCCCAGATTGTGAGAGGGATGTCCGAGCCTAATATGCTAAATGTCCGACTGTTCATTTGATCTTTGGACTAGTCACTATTATGTGCACTGATCACCAGGGGACAGACGCTCTGACTGGGGTCTTAGCTTGCTGGTGGGGTCCAGCTGATGGGGAGTGGGTGAGACAGCCAGACACGCTCTGGAGCCCTCCTGCGGTCCCTCCCTGGCCCCGATCATGTACCAGTGGGGTCCCTCGGCCTGGCCTGCGGGAATTGGGCCGAAACCGGCTCTCTGACATCTCCCAAGGGGTTCCAGATTGCGAGAGGGTACAGGCCAGGCCAAGGGACCACACCGGTGCATGAATACGTGCACTGGGCCTCTACTGTTTAAAAAAGTGGCAAGAGTGATCACCCTTATCTCATTCTGATCTTAGAGCAAAAGCTTTCAGCTTTTTACCTTTAGTATCCCATAGCTGTGGGTTTGTTACATATGGCATTTATTATATTGAGGCATATTCTCTCTGTACCACTTCGTTGTGAGTCTTTTTTTTTTTTTTTTTAATATATTTTATTGATTTTTTACAGAGAGGAAGGGAGAGGGATAGAGAGTTAGAAACATCAATGAGAGAGAAACATCGATCAGCTGCCTCCTGCACACCCTCCACTGGGGATGTGCCCACAACCAAGGTACATGCCCTTGACCGGAATCGAACCTGGGACCCTTCAGTCCGCTGGCCGACGCTCTATCCACTGAGCCAAACCGGTCAGGGCTGTTGAGAGTCTTTACCATAAATGGATATTGAATGATCTTAACCTTTATTAAAGGTGATTCAGCAGTATTTCTTAGTAACAATATCCAAATTTTGGGTTCATTTTTCTGTGAAAAATTTTTTAAACTCTCCTTGATATTCCAAAATTTAGCTATAACGTTTTTCCCAGATTTGAGTTGTCTCGCTAGAATTTTTTATTGATGTGAAGATCATTTGAAAGACTATGAACATGTGAATGGGGAAATATTTCATGTTATCCATCTTTCACCTTTGGTATTCAGTATTTTGTTTCAAATTTCACTTGCTTAATTTTCATTCTAATGCAAGATTGGAAGGCAAGCTGCTCTTTGCACTAAGTGATGCTGTGGCAGAGATTAAGTTAAAGAGTACCGCTTTATGCTCAGAATAATATGTACCCTTTGTGTTCAGAAGTAAAATAAATAGTATGGCTTTGGCAGCACAGATACTAAAATTGGAATAATACAGAGAAGGTTAGCATGGTTGCTGCACAAGGATATAATGCACAAATTTGTAAAGCATTCCTTATTTTCAATTCTTAAAGTGGGGGGCAATATAAAAAATTCTATCTGGATTCTTCTCTTGCTTTTTAGGAAAGTTTCATTTTTTTGTTTAAACAAAGAAATTTGCCTTTTTCAAAAAAACATAAAGGACAAATGTAAGA